CGGGCCAGCATCCGGTTTCTCAGCCACTCGGGGTGCGTTTCCGGCTCCTTAGCCACTCGGCGTACGAGCAACCTACCCATTGCCTGAGCGGCGACCTTCCGTTCTTCACAGTCGCACCGCCCACTCTCTGCGCGTGCGCACCGCAGAGCCCCACCCCGCACGCTCGTGGGAGTGGGCGGGCTTCGAGCCGCTCTGCCCAGAGCATTGCAGCTCAGGTGGGCCCCCATCCAATCGAACGCCGAGTAATCGATTCGCCGTTGCTAGGAGACCAAAACTGATGCAGTTGCTGCTAGAAGTTCTTTCTGGGCCCCAAGGTTCTACAGACTGTTTTCCGTCCTAATGGCATGTCCTCAAGTAGAGAAGCACGAATTCACAGAACACATTTTGAAATACAGGATTGGCCAGACAATGGTGGTGTGTCCCAGGAGAAACTGGGTTTCTGTTCTGAAACTCTTGTACCCTGTGTGACGTTTACCTTCTTCCATGTCATAAATGATGGTGCTAGGCTTTGTGCAGGTTTCCTTTTTCTCTCTTTGCCTTTCCGTCCCTACTTCACGGGCAGGCGCAGTACTAAGAATGCTCACTGAAACCACACCAACTGCTTGGTAGCCATTTTGTTTGTTTGTTTTTACTTTTCGAGACAGGGTTTCTCTGTGTAACACTCCTGGCTGTCCTGGAACTCACTCTGTAGACCAGGCTGGCCTCGAACTTACTGAGATCCGCCTGCCTCTGCCTCCAGAGTGTTTGGATAAAAGGCATGTACCACCATGCCCAGCAAAAAAAAAATAAAATTGTTTTTAAAAAATATCACTTCAGGGGGATGGCAAGATGGCTTAGTGGGTAAAGGCACTTGCCCCCAACTATGACAACTTGCATGTACACATGTATGCATGCTCTCACACATACAAATAAGTAAATTTAATAAAATATTTTTGAGTCACTGTCTCACTATATATAACCCTGGCTTGCCTGGATCTCATTATGTAGACCAGGCTGGCCTCAAACTCACCAGGATCCACCAATCTCTGCTTTTGGAGTACTGGGATTAAAGGCATGCACCACCATGTTCAGCCACGGAAAAAAAAAGGTTTTTAATTGCCCTCAAATTGAAGGATCCTCATTCCTAGACTAAGTTTTGCTGAGTGTATTTTCTTGTTGTACTCCTAACTATAATCATTAATTGTTTAGCTTTCTAGTTTGCCAAAGTGACTTTAGGAACATGTTAACTGAAGAGGGAAGACCAACCCTGTGTGTACATAGCATGTGCCATGGACTAGAGTCTTAGACTGAACAAAAAGGGGGGAAGGAGAGAGACAGCGGAGTACTAGCATTCACTCTGCTTCCTGATGGTAGATGCACTGTGAGAATTCCTGACACTCCATCACTATGTCCTCCATCACAAGAGCCAGAAGAAACCCTTCCTTTCTTAAGCCATTTGTTGTGGGTATGCATTTGGTCATGGTGATGAGAAGAGTAACTCCCATACTTTGCTCCTTCGTACAGAACTGAACGTGCTTACTCTGTAATAGCAGGGGTAGCAACAGTAGCAGCAGCTGTGTGTCCTCCCCCTGTTCTCCTTCTTCACACTAAAGGTTCAACCAAAGCTTTCCACATGTGAAGCAAGTGTACTCTCCACCACTGAGCTGTACTGTAGCTCCTGATTTCTGCAGCAGAGACTGCAGACCATGTAGCCTAGACTGGCCTGAGCTTGATCTTTTTCTGCCTCATTACCCCAAGGGCTGTGATAACAGTAGTGTCCCACCATACTTAGCACCCAAATAGCTCTTCCTGATGAATTTTAGAATCAGCCGTTTATGTTCCAAGCGTGGAATGCCCTTTTCTAACTCACACCAAGGTGCCATATAGACAAACAGGAGCCATATAAAACGTGTGGTAGGTGGTTTCCTTAAATAACAGAATGATGACAAAATCGGTAGAAAATTACTAATATATTTGACAGCATTAAAAATTTCCATTCCTAGGGATTTGAGAGATGGCTCAGTTGTTTAAAAAAATACTTGCCACTGTTGCAGAGGACCCAGATTCAGTTCCCAGTACACATCTGGCAACTCACAACCTCCTATAACTGCACCTCCAGAGGATTCAACATGCACTTCTGGCCTCAGACACACACTCCCTCACACACACACACACTCACACACACACACACACACACACACACCTATAAATTTCCATAGAAAGTCTTTGTAAACAAGGTTAAAATTTTTAAGTGTTTGGAAAAAACAGAAATACTAATAAAGAGTTTTAAATAATTATGGCCCTTTAAGTTTTGCTAAAAACTATGTGATCTTTAAACTGTAATGAAAGGTTATGGGTAAAGGATTAATAAAGCTCTTACCTCTGGCTTTACTGAATGGCAACTGACCTTTACTTAGCATTCTTCTGTCCATCCTTCTGAGCCCTGATGAACTTCCCACACCATTAGGCAACCTTACCCACATTAAAGCAATGGCTTGGTGGGTAAATTATATTTGCAGTGACAGCTATAAATACTGGATCAGAGAGTAGAGTTTTGGGCCTCCCTGAGTGTGGAAATTCCTTGAGCCCCTGAGGTCAGTGGAAGCTCTTTTCATAGAATGGTGATTTTAAAAAAATACTGGTTCCTACAGACAGGAAACATGGATGTCCCAGCAGCTGCAGCATCTGTGTGAAACAGATCTGGCTTCTTTGCCCCTGTTACCTAATTGTGGGGGGTGTAGGGGTCTTGCACAACACCCTGTGTTGCTAAAATGATTCCAGATGGAACCCTCAGCTGTGCTGTGAAGAATGGGATCTACCTCTAGGTGGAGACAGGCCCTTGTCTCCTTGCTGAAGGGTTAATCTAGTTGTTCAGGAAAGGAACCTGGCTAGAGGACCAGCCCTAGAAAGGCTGGTTCACCTTTTCTTTCCAGAGTTCCTCTCCCTTAGTGCATTCCCTACTACCAGAACCACCAAGATGTTCTGCTGGATTTACTCATCTTTCTGAAGCCTGATGTAAAAGACCTAGTCACCTTTCTTCCTTTTTTGTCTTTTTTCTTTTTGGATGATGGCTAGATCTTTATGCTTTGAACTTCCTAATGCTTTGGGCTTCCTTGCTCTTTCAAAATCCCATGTCCTAATGGTGTAGACTGCCACCAGGTGGCTGACCTCCCTTTTTGTGACTTCTGTTCCTTCTCCTTTCTCTCTCCAAGGCAGCTGGAGATTTCAGGCTTGCCTGTCCTGGGGGTTTTCCTCTTAAACTCTAACAAATTGTCCTCGAGCTTCTGTTTGAGACTATTCTTAAATTCTTCTAGCAACATAACTGTGAACCCCAAGAGGGAGCCTTTTTTTTTTCAAGGATCACGATGGCTCTGTGGGGGTTTCCTGAGATCTCAAATTTAACTTCTTTTCCTGCCTTTTAATTCTTTAATTGCAGAGAAGACAAACCTGTTACTACACTCTGAGATGGCACCATGCCCTGCTCCTGGCTGCCATTTCCGACTTACATATTCCCAAATGGTTTGGGGTTTAAAACATAGTCTCTCTGTATACACCAGGATAGACTGGAACTCCAATCCTCCTGCCTCAGTTTCAGTTTCTTCTAAGTGAATGTAATGATGCCAAACGTGGCTATTGGCAATCTTACCAGAGTAGACGTTTAGTTGTGCTTGGTAGATGCAGCATGTAGTGATATGGATACTTAATATTTAAGTTATATAGAGAAGAGCTAATTGAATAGACCTGTGTTAGATCATCGGACTGCTCTTCTGAGCGTTTTATAAATCCTGTGCACATTTCTCCCTGCTTTCTAAAGAGACATAAAAGAAACATCTATTCACCTCAAATGGAGAAGAAGTGGGCAGACCAAAGAAACCGGACTTAGAAAATAAGTGATTTACTTGGTGTTACCCACAGGAGCATGGGCAACTTGTGAACAACTGTACCATAGAAAAGTCTCACCACAAGGCAATTTTTACCTTTTTTCTCTGAGGCAGGCTCCCATGTAGCTTAGGAGTCAAGGTTGACTTTGACCTCCTGATCCTCCTGTATCTCCCTCCCACATGCTGTGATGCCTCCTACCATTTTTTTTTTTTTAGATTTTATTTATTTATTATGTATACAACATTCTGTTTCCGTGTATATCTGCACACCAGAAGAGGGCACCAGATCTCATAATGGATGGTTGTGAGCCACCATGTGGTTGCTGGGAATTGAACTCAGGATCTCTGGAAGAGCAGTCGGCGCTCTTAACCTCTGAGCCATCTCTCCAGCCCTTAACCTCTGAGCCATCTCTCCAGCCCCCGCCTCCTACCTTTTGACAGCAGTGATGGGATCTAAGAGGAGTGTCTTGTGACTCTCTCCCTCTCAAAGAAGGACTGCTTGCCCCATTACCAGACCTTGCCAAGTGGTGTAAGCTCTTTGTATTTCATTGCCATGACAGTGGCCAAGGTCTCCTAGGGTCACTGGTGGTGCTGTTCATGTCAAGCCTGCAGGAAACAGCTATACCATCTTCCTCAGAGAAAGAATTTATAAGAAAATCTTGTTCAATGCTAATACTATTAGTATTCAACCTCGAATACTAATAATAGATCTGTAGTTCTGGCTCGAGTCAGTGCATCATTTCGGTGTTCTGTACACTTCCTTTTGCTATGTTAAATATCATTCGATTGAAAATATAAAGCACGTGCAGTTTGTAATAAGTAAGCAGTAGAGAAAGCTATGGAGGACAATGATCACCCTTTTATCCCCAGTGACACACTTTCTAGGCAACCAATGACAAAAGTTTGGTATACA